CTGTATTCAGCTTTTTACTCCTGGAAACACAAATACAATAAAATAATTTTATTGAGGGTTGGGCACTCTACTTATAACCATATTTTCTTTTTCAGTAAGATAATACTCTGTGAATAAGTACTTTACTTTTATGCATGAATAAAGGGAGGATTCTAGAGCATAAGTTACATTGTTGAGATCATATTATTTCAAAATTAGTGAACTTGAGGTGACATTAGAGCTTATCCTCTGAGAACCTGGTATAGAAGACCCTACAGAATAATAAAATCCAAACGATTTGTACAATGTATTGACATACATCACTGACAAAAGTATCTATTTGAGTAATTCTAAATAGCACCTGGTGGAGAAGAGCTCATGGAAATTTTCATTCTGTTCCATGAAAATTTATTGCTCTTCCTTGCATTTTAAATGAATCTATTACTCGTGATTTTGTAACATCATTCCTAGTTGGGGAAGGGAAGCAAACAACTTCCAGGACTCCCCTAAAAGATCCCTGTCTCTGTTGTAGCCAGACCTCAAATACAAAGTCAAAACTTACCTGTGTAAAGATTCCCTCACAAACTGAATTCCAGCCTGCACTGGCTTTTATGTTGAGAAAAGGGCATTGATAGGAAGGCTTATGCCCCTGAAAATTCAGATGGAAGTAAATGGGCAGACTCCCTGAAGCAGGGAGGAAACTCAGTTTCTTGAGCATGGGACCTGTGAAGTTACACAGCCCTTCACTCTTCCAAGGAACCCTGACCTTGGTTTGATGCTGTGCCCTCACTGTCTTGAAATTAATACTAGTTTTACCTTTATGCTTATCTTTTATAAGTGAGTCCAATAAGTGGGAGGAACAAGTGCCTGAGCAGAGAGGTACGTGGGCAGCAGGACATAGGTGGGAACACATGCAGGCTCAGGTTCTGGGTCACAGCAGGTTGCGTGTGAGCTGAGCAGTTGGCAGGGTCACCTGTGGTGTCTGTGCCTGCTTTGGACTAGCTGGGGCTTTGACATGCATCAAAGGGTACAGTAAATATTATTGGGAAATTACTACAGATTGAAAGTGTATACCTGGACATTTCAAGAAAGCAGTTTGGCAGTTTCTTACGGGACTAAACATACTCTTACTGATTGATGCAGCAATGACTTTCCTGAGTATTTTCCCAAAGGGTTTTAAAAGTTACGTCCACACAAACTTGTACACAGGTGCTTTATAGCAATTTTATTCATAATTGCCAAAACCTTGAGGTAAGTTTCATGTCTTTCAATAAGTGAATGAATAAATAAATGGTGGTACATCCAAACAGTGGAATATGATTTGGTGGTTTAAAAAAAAAAAAAAGGAGCTATGAAGCCATAGGGGAACTTTATATGCATTTTAGTAAGTGAATACAACCCATCTGAAAAGACTACATAAGTTATGATTCTGATCCTATGACATTCTGGAAAAAGGAAAACTAGGAGGGAAAAAAAGATTGTGGTTGCCAAAGTTTGAGGGGAGCAGCAGGGATGAAGAACACAGAGAATATTTAGTGTAGCGAGCCTAGTCGCTATGATAGTATAATGGTGGATACATTCCTTATACACTTGTTCACACCCACAGAATGTACAACAGCTGGAGTGAACCCTAGAAAAACTGTGGTCTTTGAGTGATAGGATGAAGCAGTGAAGGCCCGTCCATTGTAAAATGTGTCCTGGAGAAGTTGACAAAGGGAGAGGTTGTACCTGTATGGGGGCAGGAAATGCACTGGATACCTCAGTATGTCTGCCTCATTATCTTTGAACTTAGTTGAAGTGTTTGAAAATAAGAAAATCTTTAAAAAATTAAATTGAGAGACATGAAACTAGTATGTATGAAGAGTTAAAGCATTTTAGAAAAATGATCCCTTAGAAACATTACCTAGTGACACATTTTCCCTGCTTTTTGAATAAAGATCCTACATTTTCATTTTGAAATGATCTCAAAAATTGTATAGGTATCCATGGCTGGAAATTTTAAACCTCCAAACTGAAGTTTTAAGGAGAAAGTCAGAATCCAGCAAGCAATTAGACTATTTTAGAAAGTGCTTCCCACTTTCCATATTAGTAAGTTCATCCACCTTGCCTAATTTGTTTTTCTTTTTTCATACAATATATACAATTATATGAATAGATAAATAGAAGAAATATGACTCCAGAAGACCATCCTGCTTACCCATGGCTCAGCCATGGAGCCCCCTGGTCTCACTGCCTATGAAGGACTTTCCACTCAGTGAATAAAGTCCCCTTTTTTTTTCCCATGTTAATTTGGCTTTAGTTCTCCTTGATACATTATTGATCTCATAGAAGAAACAAAAACCCAAATAGGATCTTGTCCTGAGAATTGTGTCTCTATTCTGAAGAGGCCTCACAGTGGGTTAGGATCAACCTCAGATCCATTAGATTACATGCTATTGTGAAAATGGTATTGGGGTTCCATGATGCAGGCAATTTCTCCCACTCTGACACTAGTCCACATTGCACACAACCAGTATTCAATAAATATTTGCTTTGTTATACAGTATAAAAGGAACTTAGAGTTGGAAGAGCCCTTAGAAATCCTTTTGTCCAACTTCATTTCACAAAATAGAGACTGTATTCTAGATGACAGCATGGAACAATTAGGTAGTAAATGATCTGGGTGAGAAAGAAAGTAGGTTTCCTACTTCCTTTAAAACATTCTCTCCCTTGCCTCCTTGCTGTAGGACCATCCTGCCGTGTAAAGAGAATGTATTTAATGCAAGCCCAGATCTCTGCAGTTTTGGTCTGATAAAGTCATGGTCCTATCATTTTGAAACCCTAAACGAAGAGTTCCACCATGTGTAAATATCTGAGACCTTGGGCAGGAAAGACACTCAGGCTGAGCTACTGTGATTCTACCAGCAGACTCGTACATCACTCACTGTTTCTGTGGGAGAAAGCCAGAGGGGATGGTGTCATGTGAACACCAACATGTATTTCTAAGGACTTTCCCCAAAATAGCAAATGTATTTATCATCCCAGGTGGAAATCCCTTGAAGGCAGTTTGAGTATAATGAGTATAATTCACACATTGTCTGCAAAATGACCATTGGAATTGGAAGACTCATGCAGCTGGAAGTCCACCAAGATGGTAGGTGAAGGTTTTCTAGGCCGGCACTTTAACAAAAGGAAAGCAATATTCTATGAAATCATCATGGAGCTGGAAATTTTGCTCCAAGAATGGCTGTTTCTCTGCAATAGTTAATTCATGGAAGAGAGTCGTTCTTATGAATGGTCCTATTCAGACCATTATATTTGTTGTTAGTGTCACACCTCAAAACCACAAATATTGTCTTATTGATCTCTGAGAAGAGGAAAATTTGCCCAGAGAAGTGTTTGAGCATGCTTATTTTATGGGGAATGGGTGAAAGAATGGAAGATGCTCTGAATCAAGAAATTTTCCAAACATAAAAACAATTTCATATATACACATATATTTATATATTGAGTTGATTGATATTCTTCACCATAGCTGTCTTTAAAGCTTTCAAGGTGAGAAAGATGAAAGGAAGATGAGTTTATTCTTTGTCATGTAAGAGCATCCATGAGTAGGAATTAGAGGAAAGGGGCTTCTTTTGAAAATGAGGTTGTCTTGTTTTCCCAGAGACCATTTCTCCTAATCAGTTCTTTAGGACAAGTTTCTTGTTGGTACCATCCCCAGAGCACAGGGAATATTTGTGATTTATTGTTACAGAGGTCATCAGAAATTTCCAGATAATTAATATGAATGTAAAAGGGGTTTTAGCAGAGAGAGATAATTCTGGAAACTCACAGGGCCGCTGACCTTTATCAAACACTGTAGTGGCATTTAGGAGAAATATGATGGTGTATGGAATGTGAAGCATGCTGGGCAGGAACTGGGAAGCATGACAGGGTAGATGGCTAATACTTAAGAGGAAATTGTCCTGAGGCCATGAGTCAGTAATTGCATTGGAGGACATGCCACCTATTTTGATTTGAGAAAAGGAAATCACCTCAAGGATAAACTTACATGTGGTTGTATTTTCTGAGTTCGCAGGTTGAGGTTTCATCAGAATTTCTACTGTGTCCTTCAGTACTTTCTAGAATATAAAACACATAGCATTCAAATAGATTTCTTAAAGCATATCAGATTTATTTATGTAAATTAGTGCAATCTTGGGTCAAAGTATTTCCTGTAGTTGAAATATTAATAACTGATGGAAGTTATCCCCACTGCTTATCATTTAGATTTAGTCCTTTACTTTTTGTTATAGTCATCTCAAGTGAGAGAATAGTCTACATTTTGACTGCTGGTACTGTCAATCCTCTGAAAAAAGCAACGTCATGGGCAAGACCAGCTAGGCGAAACAGAGCCTGAGATCAGAAACATTTGAAATATCATATGATCTTCTCTCTCTTACTCTAAACTTTGGGTTACATGTTCCTTTTACAAAGAGTTTTCTTCATCACAAATGAGAATGATAGATTTGGCAGAAAGGGAAGTTTCTCTAATATCTTTTTTAAGAGTGTGAATCATGATTCCCTCCTGATTTCAAACGTGTGCACCAGACCTATCATGGAATAAATAGCAATAACATCTATAACTTTCAACTTATAAACAGTAACTCGGTAATGCACAGAGGCATAAACCTTGATCTCCACGTTCTCACTGTGCCCTTCATCCCTGACCTAAGATTTAATTTGCTTGACTGATTGCTGCCTTGATACATGTGAGCCCCTCAGAGGCACAGGCTAAGAGAAGAGCATTTCCACAGCAAGTTCAGTAGAGATGTGACCAAAAGAGAGCAGTGCACCTGTGCTGATGAAGAACACATGGAGGGTTCATTTTAGTGCATCTGATGGACTAGACTATGGCAGGAGCAGGGTCTTTTTCTTATTGGTTGGTATACAATGTGGGAAAGTACTCTGGTAGAGGAAAGAAGGGCCGGCCTGATAAGAGAAGGTGCTGAGCTGGCTGGAGGCTGCAATTCTGAACCTGAGCTTAACTAGGAGGAACCATGAAGACATCCATGAAAGCTTTAATCATGTTCTCGTGGCTGCAGCTGAACTGTGAGTTCACAGTATATTAGTGGATATTCTTCAGAACTCAAAACTGGCTTTACTCAGGTTTCCTCCCATTAGTGTAGAAAAAGAGCATTCTGAAGCACAATAACCAGGAATCTCTCCTCCTTTCTCTGACCTTTTCTTTCTGCACAGGGTTCAGCCTGGGAGAGAATGTGGAGCAGCATCCTTCTACCCTGAGTGTCCAGGAGGGAAGCAGCTCTGTTATCAGCTGCAGTTATTCAGACAGTGCCTCAGACTACTTCCCTTGGTATAAGCAAGAACTTGGAAAAGGTCCCCAGCTCCTTATAGACATTCATTCAAGCATGGCCACAAAAGAAGACCAAAGACTCACTGTTTCATTGAATAAGACGGCCAAACATCTCTTCCTGCACATCAGAGACACCCAGCCTGAAGACATAGCTGTGTACTTCTGCGCAGCAAGCACACACTGCTTCCCAGGCACCAGCTGCCTGCACTCAGACCTGGGACTGGGGCAGCCCCTGTCCTATGACACAGACCTTCAAGGATAGCTTTTGTGCTGTTGTTCATCTGTAGGTGGAATCTAATATGTTAGACATTAAAAGAATGTAGTAAGACTATTAGGATGGAGATGACCCGGACAGGTTTAGAACATTTTGGTGGATGACTGTTTTTTAATGTATCCTTGAATGGACTTTTAATGGTTTTTTTTTTTTTTTTGAAATTCAGGTTTTAAAAATGTCTTTACATTTGTTATTCAGACTCCTCTCCTACAAAGAACGAGTAATACAGTCCTTATTACGGATGGGCACTTAATATTGTGTTTCAAAGGTGGCATTTATTGTTTTTCTGATTCTAAAACATTACATGCCAAATATAGAAATATGGAAAGTGATAATTCTGTAATCAGATAATATTGCTAATATTCCCTTTAGTCTCTACAATATTTATTAGAATTACATTCACGATATTTTCACTTTATGTATTTTGATCTGAGCATTCCCCACTTCATCAATTCTCTCCCTCCAAGGTCTTTTTTTTTTTTTAAGTTTTCATTTAACATTGCTTTAAAATATCTCTGTGAGGTATTTTCATTAATTGTAGTTTCATATTAATTTTTTTCATCTATATTTAGGGCAAAAGTTCATCTATATTTAGGGCAAAAGTTGACTGCCAAAAATTTCTATGTGCTTTGATCACTTTCTTCTTGTGTCATGAGTTTTCCTTTAGAGCCTAGGGATGGTATGTATTGTTTGTGTGTTTAAGGGAAATTAAGATAGGGAGAGATTTGACAATGTGTGCTTCAGATAAAACTCAGAAATCTAGTCTTGTTTACAAAATTTTGTCAGTCTCTGTTCATAGTCACCTTCTCATAGAATCTAGGATACAGAATTTTGTATTTCATTCACTGGTATATTTTCATTAAGTATCACAAACTTTTTCACATAATTAATTATAAGTAGATGTTAAAGAAAGATGGAAAGGAGAATTCTGCTACTTACTCATAGTTTTAATTTAAGCCTTATCATTGAATTAAATTGATTTGTGAAAAGAAATGTCCTTATTCTATATCTGAGTATTTGATTGTTTTCACAATATACTGTTTATTTCTACTTATATGTGTCTCTTTCCTAATAATGCTCAGTTGTTTGAAGATAATTCAGTTTATTCTTGGACTTTGTTATATTATATTTATTCTTGGTCATCATTATAATGAAAATCTTCCTTCTGAGATATATGGGAAAATTTTATACGCATGTACCAGCCACCTTACTATTACTAGTAAATTGCACAAAGGCATTTGGACTAATGGCTGATGTAGAGATAATGTGATATCAACCTCCCTGCCACGTGTTCACATTTGACTGAGTTAAACATTATTAACTACAACCGTCCTTTGGAAAAAAAAAATTATTTCTCTAATATCTTGAAGAAGTCAAAGGAAATAAAGAAGTTGTATAAATATTTAATTCTCTCAATCTCCCACCCCTGCTCAAGGGAGGCTCCTTTCTAGGTCCCTTGAAGTCTTCCTAACTAACGATGGATATAATTAGCAATTGGCACAGTGAGAATGGTTTCTCTTAGCTGAGTTATGGTTGTTAGATATTTGCTAATGGCTAATTCTTACTGGGGAAGTGTTCGGATTAAATTCAGTTTAAAACAGCTGAATAGGGGAGGTTAGAACTGTAGCCCAACACGTCAATGGACTTGATTCTTTCCCTCCTTATACTGCCAGGTCCTGTGCAGTAGAAGGAAGATGACTCCTGGCGGGTGCCTTTCCTCCAAGCCTGATAATGGAGTCAGAAGGAAGCATGCTTCTATATTATTCATTCGTTTCCTCTTAAATCAATTAGAAGCAAGACAGAGGGTGCAGTTCCTACAGGTTTGAATGCTTGGTCATACTGAGGTGAGAATCGATGCAGTGGAAGATAACAAGCATTTTAGCCAGAGTGTGCACTGAGTCTCAGATCCAGACACATTCCGGTTTAAACCTTCATCATGTTTGGTGTATTTGTTTCCTACATCCTGGGACAAGGTAGTACAAACTTTTAGGTCTTCTCTTGATCCTGTGAAGCCAGACTGGATGCTGAGAGTCTCCCTTTTGTTTGCTTTCTCTAGGACGGTGTTGACTGAATTTGCGTGATTTCTCCCAATCAGGGAGAGTGGATCTACTCTCTGCGCATGCTCACTAGCCGCTTACAAAAGCTCACTGCTCTTGTCATCCTGTGTGCACTGGTGGGAGGCCCGGGGTGGGATGATGTATGGGTGAGGGACTGAGTGTTGTGTGTGCTCATGGACCATTTGTGGGGCTCTAGGCAGGCCATCTCCAGTGGGTCAAGGGCAGATTCCTAATGGAGGCTGTGTCATGGATTGGAGGGTCCATGTTGTTTTACTGCCCTCCAAGAGCCCTGGGTGCTGTTCTGCTTGGAGGACCCCACTCACTCCCCAGTGAGCAGTACAGCTCAGTATTCTGCATGAGACTAGAAAGAGGTTCCTCTTTGGGAGCATCCTCCAGAGCTGGAGGGCCATGTGTTCACTCACATGTTCTCACGTTCCTCTATGGGGAAATCACAGGCTGGAAATTTCCTTTTGGCTCGGGACTGAGTCACATGGGCTGGGGTGATGAAGGTAAAGTGAAATTGTTTTTCATCCTCTCCTCAATCTATCCAATCTCAAATTCGTTTTGTTTCACAACTGCTGTGTCTTCTTTGCGGGACTTCTTAATAGGCACTTTCTTTTAGTTTATTGTATGACTGTGAAAATTGGTGGAGGTTTTTTTTGGGAGGGGTGGCAGAGATGGTAGAAAATTTCTATTTTGCCATTTTGATGTCAGCGTTGAAATTTTTATTCATTTATTTATAATACCTCAAGTGAATTTTTTAAAAGATTTTATTTATTTGAGAGAGAGTGAGACAGAGGGCGTGTGCAGGAATGGGGGGAGGCAGTGGGAGAAAGAGAAGCAAATTCCTGGCTGAGTAGGGAGCCAGATGCAGGGCTAGATCTCAGGACCCCAGGATTATGACCTGACCTTTCAGAAGACCTTTAGCCAACTGAGCAACCCAGTTGCCCCTAAATTTTTTATTTGAAAATAATTATATAGAAAATTCACAATTTTGGTGTATGTTCCTGTGAATTTTGAATTTTAATACATTGTATAGATCATGTAACCATCATACAATCACTGTACAGAATAATTTCTTTGGTCTCCAAAACTCCCTTGTGCTATTCTCTTACCTTTATACACTTCCATAATCCTCACTCCTTGCAAACATTGGTCTATTCTTATTTTTGTGTTTTAAAATGTCATAATGATGGGAGCATACAATACATGAGTATTCGCTTAACCAACTGAGCCAGCCAGATGCTCGGTGCCAAATTTTCTGTAACCAAGATGATATTATGAACTTTCCCATGGTTTTGTCTTTCTGTTTTTAAAGAGATGGTTACAGGGATGCCTGGATGGCTCCATTGGTTAAGCGGCTCCCTTTGGCTCAGGTCATGATTCCCAGGGTCCTGGGATTGAGTCCTGCATTGGGCTCCCTGCTCAGTGGAGAGCCTGCTTCTATCTCTGCCTCTGCCTCCTTGTGCTTTCTTTCTCCCTCTGACAAATAAATAAATAAAATCTTTAAAAAAAATAAAAAAGAGATGGTTACATAGGCTTCTATGCCTATACATAGGCTTCTTTTTCTTAGCTTCTACCTTGCCTTTTTTACTATGAGATTTGTCTTTCTGACAAAACTAATTTGAATTACATGAATACATCAAATATTCATGTATTTGCTCTGCATTCCTAATAGGATGCAGGAGATATGTGAAAGGGTTAAGAAAAGTTAGGAAGTTAAAAACCTCATTGTTGGGTGCCTGGGTGGCTCAGTTGGTTAAGCGTCTGCGTTCGGCTCAGATCATGATTCCAGGGTCCTGGATCATCAGGAACCCTGTTCAATGGAGAGTCTGCCCCTCCCTCCTCCGCTCTCTCTCTCTCTCTCACAAAAATAAATAAAATTTTTAACACAAAAAAGAAACGTCATCGTCTTTATAGTATTTGAAAGTTGTGACCAACATTAAAAACATATTGACCAACACTGACAACATGATTTTTTGTAAAATGAGATATAAATGAGATTTTCATTAATTCTGCTACTTGAATTAATGTTACTTCTCCAAGGTTTGGATTTTATAAAGGGGTCTGTAGTAGTAATTTCTTGACAAGTCTGGTATTGTCTCAGTGTTTTAAGGGACTTTGGCCAACACACCCACATTTCAGTCCCTGTCCACCAGGGGGTGCAGCTTCCTACCACAATCACATTTCCTGTGTGAAATGTGGGCTTCCACTGATCATTTCTGTCATTTCAACATTTCTTCATGTGAAGAATGAAAAACATTGTTTAGGTGGTGTTCTAGAGATGAAGTGTTCTCCAGGCTTCGTGACTATGGTACTCATAATGCTTGGTAAGTAAAAAGCCTCTTAAAATTTGGATTCCTTTTTCCTGGTGTCAGGAAAAAGTTTTAAGTATACTTTTCTCCAAGAGGTTTATGCCCAAGGTGACACAGATCTCTTTTCTTCTTCCTCAGGACAAACACATGGAGATTCAGTGACTCAGACAGAGGGCCAAGTGACCCTCTCAGAAGAGGCTTCCCTGACTATAAACTGTACCTATTCAGCAACTGGTTATCCAACTCTTTACTGGTATGTCCAGTCTCCAGGAGAAGGTCTAGAGCTCCTCCTGAAAGCCTCGAGGGACAAGGAGAAGGGAAGCAACAAAGGATTTGAAGCCACCTACAACAAAGATTCCAAATCCTTCCACTTGGAGAAAGGCTCAGTGCAAGTGTCAGATTCAGCTGTGTACTACTGTGTCATGTACGACACAGTGATGGGGACTGCAGGGGGAGCTGAGCACAAACTCTGATCAAAACAGGGGCCTGGATGCTGAGTGTCTCTGCCTGATTCATTCTGGTTTCAGCAGTCTGTGGTTGTTTGTCCCTCAGTGTGTGGTTGACACAAAACCATACAAACGACTAGAGCATAGGAACCAGAAGTAACATTCCCCAACCCCAGGTGTTCCTTAGTGACATTGAGAACAGTTTGAATCCAAGAGTTCCTCAGCCAGAGCATAAGTAATCTCAAGGTAGAATCACATAACAGTGAAGTGGTCTTTTGCTCATCCTTGCAGTGAATGTCCACAAGTTGTTCATGGCACCCTGGTGTGTGTTGCTGTGTCTATTACACTTTTAGAGACACACACTGTGCCTGAGAAGGTGGCCTCTGCCCAGTGTCTTCTTGACAGAGTATGGCAGGAGAGGTGATGGGAGAGCTTCAGCTCCAAACCAGGTTTTAGTAGAGAAAGAAGGGAAGGGAAGAAAGGAGGAGGAACACATGTACCTGAGTAAGGAAAAGAGAGGCCAGGGACCTCTGCCCTGCTTTCTTTTCTAGTAAATCAGGAGGCGGGGGGGAGGGGGGGTAACAAGCTGATATTCAACATGAAGGGGTAGGGAGCAGAAACAGAATGGAGGATGTGGCTCATGTCCTGACCAGTTAAATAGATCAGCTGGCTTTCTGACAGTAAGAGCTCAAGAGAGATTGTTCTCCGTGCCCAGAAAATACGGTGAGAGAAAATGCTCTTGCACTGATGTCTCCTAAAAATATCGATAGTTAGGTGATACTGGGAGGGAACTCCTATAGATTTCTCTAACTCCTGTTTTGCAACCTCTCACAGAGAGCCACAAGTCATGGGATTGGGAGAATGTATGGGAGTCAGAGCAGTTCTGTAAGAATAACAAAAGCAATGTCTGTGTTGCAGTGCAAGACTTTGTTAATATTGTTGCAATCTTCTTTAATTATTATCTATTATCTGCAGATTTTATTAATGAGTTATGATCAAAATATTAATACATATACTTATATGTTCTTGATTTAAAATATTTTTTATTTAATTGGTTTAAAATATAATTTTTATTTTGCAACCTGTATAAATATAAATGCATGTGAAAGTATACTTTAAACAATTTGAAAGATATTTAATAAGTGTTTTCTCAGACATTTGGATAAACACAGTAGACTAGGGGTGCCTGGCTGGCTCTGTGGATAGAGCTGGGACTCTGAGTCTGAAGGCTTTATGTTCGAGCCCATGTTGAGTGTAAAGATTACGTAAAGGTAAAATCTCTAAAAAAAAAAAAAAACCATTGGTAGATTAATAATATATATATTTATCTCTTGATTTCTCTAATGCTCTTTTTTTAAAGGATTTTATTTTTTTGAGAAAGAATGTGCATGAACACAAGCAGGGGGGAGGGCAAATGGAGAGGGAGAAACAGACTTCCCACTGAGCAGAGAGCAGGAGGCATGGTTCAATCCCAGGACACTGAGACTATATCCTGAGCTGAACTCAGCAGCTTAACTGACCGAGCCACCCAGGTGCCTCTCTAATACTCTTTAAAAATTTTAGTGAAGGCATCCCAAAGGGCAGAAAGCCATAGACACAAATAGAAATATGAAAAAAGCTATTAGCAGACAGTGACACCAACCAATTTTAGGAAATAAGCTATATATGGAGAAAGGGAAACTGGCATGAAAGACTAGATAAGAAGAAACCTGGGCCTACTGTAGAAGCACCTCAGTATATGTTGTGCCCTCTGGAAAGGGTCAGAGAAAAGAAGCACCACGTGTTTTTTGGTAATTGAGGAAGATGGCATTTCCCATGTTGGTACATGTGTGTGCACAGGTGTGGTTGTGTGCGCGTGTGTTGAGGGTATTGGAGGAGAGAAGGTATATAAGACTGAGTGGTCACATTGGGTGCTCAGAACTGAGCATACAAAGCATGGCAGGTTATTGTGTTCAAATGAGGTAAGGGAAAAACATATATTCAAAGGATTGATAACCTAATGACCAAATTCTGGTGTCTATTCTGGCCTTTCTGAGCAGAGCTGAGCTGTGGAAACTAAACAGTGAGGAGAAGACCTTGGTGACAGGATCTATTGCCTGAGGGCTGCAGCCTGAACTCTTCAGCAAGAGTGATTAGATATTTCTGCTTTTGGCTCCAACATAGGCACCTGAACAGACATGAGTAGTGAGGAGGAACACTGACATAACAATAGGTACATTGAAAGAACTACAGTGAATGTCTAAACACTGCCTTCTTATCATAAAGTGATTTATCTCTACCTTGGGTGAAATCATATAGTGTAGACATACAAGATTCTTACATTTTTTGGTCATGATTCTTACATCTTCATTGCTTCCATAATTCATTATATGTGGTATTTAAAAATTATGGAATGCTTCATGAATTTGCATGTCATTCTTGCACATGGGCCATGTTAATTTTCTCTGTGTCATTCTAATTTTAGTATATGTGCTCCCAAAGTGAGCCTTATCTGTCATGTTTTCAATAAGTGCCACCCACCCATTTTATCACAGATGTGATGAATGAACATCACAGTTAGTTAAACCATCAATCCTCAAATCCTCATTTCAATATAAATTTTACTCATGTCTATTTTCAGATGTAAGGTTTTCAATTAAAGTTGCTTAATACAAAAGAATTTTGGGTAGTGACTCTCACTGGTCCATAGAGAAGTGTAACATGACTCACACACTTGCTATACCAGGAAGCCCCTATTTCCTCTTCTGAGGCCACAGCAGCACATAACCAGCAATCCTTCCCTCACCCTGTCAGGATCCCCTCACAGTGCTGAGCCCTGAAGCTGAAGAAGAAGAAGACATTTTCCCTCTTGTGGGAGAACTCAAACATGTTGCTCTCCAACCTTCTCAAGGTGGTCATGACTTCCGTGTGGCTAGGTAAGGATGGTCCCTGTGGGAATGTGTCTCCTCTATGACCTAAAATCAAGAGAGATAGGCATGATCTTGTGGGAACCTTGGGAAGGAGGGATGACAGTGTGTAAAATAGAAGTTCTTTGTGCCACATCACGTATTCCAGGAGTCTCTGATTCTGTGTTTGTTTGTTGTTGTTTTTTTCCTTCAGGATCCAGTATTGCCCAGAAGGTAACTCAAGCCCAACCAGCAATGTTAGTTCAGGAGAAGGGGAGTGTCACACTGGAATGCACATATAGCACCAATGAACCAAGTTATAGTCTTTTATGGTACAAGCAGCCCAGCAGTGGGACAATGGTTTTCCTTATTCGTCAGGATTCTTACAACCAGCAAAATGCCACCGAAGGTCGCTACTCACTGAATTTTCAGAAGACAAGAAATTTCATCCAACTTGTCATCTCAGCTTCACAGCTGGAGGACTCTGCAGTGTATTTCTGTGCACTGTGGGAGCCCACAGTGAGGGGAGTGATGGAGGGAGGTATACCCAAACCCCAGGGCTCTTGTTGATGCTTCCCCTGTGTTGGGCCCAAGGCAGGGGGAAATTGTCATCCCAGACAGGAAGTGGCACAGGTGCAGGCGTAGAAGGAGAAATTCACTCTAAGAAAATACCACTCTGGATAAGAGTTATCTGCATCAAACACTTCCTAATCCCTGAAAATTTATGTTGAAATTGTTTTTTGAAGACTAGTCATGAAAAAAAATTTGTCATGTTGCAATGAGATTTAACTAGAAGAATTGGCTAAGGAAATTTAGAAACATTTGACTCAAAAATCAGTAATAATGTGTGCGAATTGTTGGATTTTTCAGTACATATTTATTTGTTCAGTACATATTTGTTCAGTACATACTTATTGAGTATATATTATGTTACAGGCATCTCTTGAATAAGAAAGGTCGTGAATGTTTCTGTGATTTTCCTTTTTTTGTTTTATATCCTGATATTTTATGCCATGTAATGATTTAGTTTAAAATTAGGTTTGTTTGCCGTGCGTTATCGTATTCACATTCAGTTTCTAGTGAGCCTGCTCTGTAAGGTAGTTTGTACTAGTGTTCATTCCATCTTACTAACACCTCTAGCATAGATGTGCTGTTTGCATCATGGAGGTTTACCTGCATCTCCCCAGATTGATCCACAAATGATCATAATCAGGGTCTCTTAGGGGGACACAGTGAAGGAGCAGAGTGTGAATTTCCCCCTTTATCTGTTCCTGCCCTTCACTTCAACGTTCCTTCAAAAGTACTTCTTGCCAACATGTGGCTCAGTTTGCACACCTCTGAGCCCTCCTTGTTTGAACAGTGCTCTACTCTCCAAAATCCTCATTCTCTCCATTTTCCTCCTTCCATCTCTAACCCTATTTGCCCAGTGCCTTAAAATCCAGATGGTAATGGATGGTTGGTAATTAGTCTTGCATTCTAACACCCTCTTATATTTGCTAGAAAGGCAGATGAGTAAAATAGAAATCTTAACTAGAATCTCTTCAAATGTTTTTAATTGCAAACTTTTACCATTTTAACATATATTTTTACAATTGAAAAAATTTTTGAGTGTACATTTCAGTGGTATTAAATACATTTACATTGTTGTTCAACTAGCAATACCATCCATTTCCAGAATTCTTTCCTCTTGAAAAATTAAATATTTGCACTCATTAAACAATCACTCTCCATTACTTCATTCCTCCAGTCCTTGAGAACTACCATTCTGGTTTTTTTTTCCATGAGTTTGACTACTTTAGGTACCTCATAGAAGTGGAATTATGCAGTCAAATGCTCTATCACTGAGCTATACCCCCTCTAGAAGTGGAATTATGCAATGCTGGTCATTTTGTGTCATTTTATTTGACATAATGTCTCAACATTCACCTCTGTTGCAGTGTGTGTGAGGATTTCTTTCCATTTTAAGGTTGAATAATATCCCAGTGTATGTACATAGCACATTTTGTTTATGTACATCTATTTGTGGATGGACTTTAAGGTTGCTTCCACCTTTTGGTGGAAATAGGAGTCCATAAACATTTCAATATTGTGGGTATATAGCCAAATTCTTTCCATTTTTTAATAGAATCTTGAAGTTGAATGTGGAGGTATTCTTAGAAAATATATTGTAAGCCCTAAGGAGTGACTGTAG